ACACCACAAAATATTCAGTCCATAACCTTTGTCATAGTTCACGAATCTTTCGAAAAGCAATGAGTGAAATTTATGCCCGTACCATGGCGTATGGACGTTGTGGAGGTAAGTATCCACACATCCTTAATCTTGGTATCAGACTGAGTGGTCGGCTCCGCGTTTCGATCGCTTTACGGACAGAGAAACCGCATTTGGTGTTCATGTGACATACAGTCTGTTGGGCCTGGACCTAGTGTTTAGGTTATCTGGACTGGTGAAGGAAACTCGTTGCCCTGTCGGTAATCGAACCTCAATACTACAGCTCGTAGCCATTCATTTACTGACTGAAATGTAATTGATTTGTAGTTGTTTAACAAACACTTTTATCAGATAGCATATACCATCAAATGAGATCGGGAAGATTCAAGAAAAATAGTATGTAGGGATTTGGAAGGGAGCGGTAGTGGCCTATTTCAAGACAGAGTAGAGAGGAAAATCCCACGAAACATTTCATAATATCCCGTAGAACTGAGCTGGCGTGAAATGGATTAAGCCAGTATAGAAAATCCTTGATTCATGGAATTATCTTAACACAGTTATGGAGATCAAATAAAGGTTATGATAGGCGAGATAACTAGCTTTGATACGGAAATAAAAATACACACAAAATTTTGTTAAATTAAACCTGTCGGAAAGAACAATTAAGAAGACCTGGAAGAAGATGCGACGATGTGTTAAGTCGGATAAAATCTCTAAGTGAAATTCTTTTTTTTTTTTTCCTCGTTCTTTATCCTGTCTGTTTCCAGTCCAATCCCCTTCCTATTTCACTTTGTCACTTCAAATCCTTCTCCCTTTGTTTCTCTATTTCAGGTTGCTTCTGTCGGTCAGAACTCCCCGGTACAAATGTTGTGCCCCCTTGGCCAGTCGTCTTCGTGTTTTCTAGATTTCGCTTTTGATCGAATTACCTCGAGTCGTTTCATTCGATTAATGATAGTGGGAGAAGGAAAAGTTCTGATACGCGGTGCTGCACAGACAAGTAGCTAGAAAGCGGCAAGCAACTTGCTGGTGACAGGATGTTGGAGCAGAACTTTATGTCCTGGCTTCTCGTTTCAGAGGAGTGTAACTCCACCGAAATGTTTTCCACTTTGCGTTTGTATCGCGTCATGTTTCTCACCTCCAAGAAATATCTTGTCGATTTTAATCTTCTGGAATATAACGCCCTCTAAACTTGTGGGTAAAACACCAAATGTTTCGTCAAGGTTAAAGATAGAGACGGTATGTTCCTCTAAGACGTTGGTACCCACCTACAAGTCTGTGTTGCCTTACGACCGAGAGAAGCAATATTGACATCTTCGCCGCAGTGAGAATCTCGAATCCGAGACAAAATATCTCATTCGAAGTTTCACAGATGGTCCCGTTGTGTGTGGTAGTGGGATATTGCGTATTATTTTCTAACGCCATTTACGTAAAATATATCGTTATATTAAGAAAATGTTATTATATAAAGTTGTTCAAATTTCGCTATATAAAATAAAACTGAGACGGTTCAACAACCTTACTAAGAGTCCACTAAAAATGTTATGAATATCTTGTCGGTTGTTCTGGATTTAATGTATGTTGATTGATAGATAGATAGATAGATAGATAGATAGATAGATAGATAGATAGATAGATAGATAGATAGACAGACAAACAGAGTACTTTTAAGTCCCTCCCTAGCGCTGCAAATACGCATAAGAATCATCATAATCAACGAAACTTCCTAAATTGTAATTTATAACTATTCTGTTACAAAATAGTCAAAGGTATTTAAACATTTAACCTCTACACTTGATTCAGTATGTATGAAGTGGGATGATCACAAAAAATCTCATGCCATACAGGCGATTACGAGGTTCGAATATGGATCTATCTTTATGATGGATGCGATATTAAATCTTTTGATTCAACACAATGCATTAGTCTTACAAGGCAGAGTGTATCCGGCCTCTTTTACGTCAAAATGCAAGAAGAGTCCTAGCACAGGGAAAGGTTGCGAAGTATTCACACAGCTCGGGAACATTGCCAGCCACATTGGTTGGCGCCCGACGTCTTAAGTATTTGCTGTATCAGAACGTCGCAGGGCACCTGATTTTACAGATCAGGGGCGAGATCCCTTTCTTCGGGGAGCTACTGAGTGCCAGGAACTGGGGCCACATCTGGTTTTGTAGTCCATGAAGTTCATTTTATAAGGAAGTAAAAGTTTAACTGTAGATCAGATTTTTCATACGAACGATTGATTCTGAATTTATACCAGGAATATTTTATCGACTCATTTGTACATCTTTTATCTGGCAATAAAAGTATGAAACATGGCCTATTTTCTCTACCAGTGAAATGTGAACTTTCTCCTTTTACAACACGGCTGCTTGTTCACCTAGATACCAGAATTCAGAGAAATATATTTCTCATATTGTAGTTCCAACATCATCAACATTGATCATAAGTTTTTGGTGACTATATCTCGCACACACACACTGCTATTATTCTGTCTCTTGTACTCATCTCCAGGCGAAATTGTCGTTCTGATGACATCAGATGTTCAAGTCACTTTGTATGGTTGACAAAGATTTCATGGCCTCTCTTCAGCGAATTGCACCATTCAAACCTGACATTGAAGATTATCTACATTGTGCTTACAACGAACGATGAATCTCATGGAATTTAACTTTTCCTCGCAGGGAACTTTCATAACACACTGTCCCATAAAATAGGCACATAAACTAAAGCCAGTTTGCATGCCAAGACAAAGTATAACAATTGTTTCAGTAAACCTGAAGGGAAGATAACCACTAGGAAGACATAGACGTAAATGGGATGATACTGTAATTGTTCTTAAGGGAATAGCGCTGGAGAATATGGACAGATTCATCTGGTTCAGGGTATAGACTGGTGGAGAGCTTTTTAAAGTGATAATGAACGTTCGGTTTCCATAAAAATCACTGCGATTATCAGCTTATCAAGAAATGCTCTGCTCCAAAGAGTAAGTTAGCTGAGGAATATGTTACAGAAATAATATCTCCAGACTCAAGTTAGTGACAGCAAACCAATCCCCTTACAATTATTATACATATTTTACTACAAGGTGTATACGAAAATAAATTACAATTAGCGTATTGTGTAGTTATACCTATTATTAACGAGACAATGTCATTAATTTCAGCTAAATGTATTATAATCTAACCTTCAGTTTTAATTAAATATGTTTTCACACTCGTTTGTGTATATAAATGCTTACGATTATGGTTCAGTCAAACGACATCTATAAAGAATATTGTACTAATGCACTTCCATAGGTTACAACCACAAACTCTTCTCGAGAAGCTAACAGTCGCTCAGTTAGTCAACAAATACTCAGAGGACGTATATTATTATAAAGTTTGAGGACTAGTCACTGCTTCCTGAACGTTGGTGATGGAGGCAGTAGGCATATTTAAAAAGTCAGTCAATTTCTACGAGAATACACGTCATATCAACCCATAACGCAGTCATCTTGACATTTAACGCCTTGATAAACTGAAATCTCTCATAATTCACTCTTGTTTACATTAGAAAATAAATTTCATTACTTCGGAAGGCTGTGGGATAACTTAACTTGTTCTACATCGCAGGCAAAACGATCACGAAAAGGAGCGAAAATCAAGGGTAGTGAGAGCCCCTAAGTGAAACGGTATTAGATTATTAAGTTATTAAGTCCTCTAAATTGCCAAGAATTTGATTACTTGGGTCGTAATGAGAGCAGGAACTTCAGAGTCAGAGGAAACCGCCAAGAACTGTCACAGACCTTCATTATGAAGGCGCCGATTGAACGGAACTGAACAAACCTGCGATAACTTAAGATATAAGGGGAATGCAGGGCAACGGGCACGGTTTATTATAATATTTCACCTGAATGATGGGCAATATGGCGGTTTAAGTGAAACAAACATCGATTGAAGTCCTTTCATATGTCCTGAACGTAT